ACGTAAGTGTTCTGAGCACATTTAAGGGAGGCTACGCTAAGCTCTGAGTTTTGGTAGGTCAGACTAATGTATTAAGTACATTTTTACCTTGCTATTTTCATCGTATAATGGGTTTATTGGGATGTAACCCCAGAGTAAGTCAAGGAGCATCTGTTCTGTGAATGATATGCAAAATAAACTTTTACACAGAGTGAAGACTAGGAGACAATTTATGATGCCTGTTCTTTTTGGGGGAGTTGTTAAATTTTGTTTATTTGTCCTCAACAGTAAACGACAACACAAACAGCAGAGTGGTCCTTTGGTCCTTCTTTGAAGCTCTTGTTCTAGTTGCCATGACATTGGGACAGATCTACTACCTGAAGAGATTTTTTGAAGTCCGGAGGGTTGTTTAAAAAGCCTTTTCCTGATGATCCCAATCTCATAGCTCACTGTTTACCAAACACCTTGGTCATAATAATGTCTTTAGTTTCTACATTTTTACTTTCTGAACTGTATATTCACAGCTTATATTCCTTTGTGATTAATAGGTATTGGGGGAAAAATATCTTTTTTGGAAAGCTATAGTGAAAATTTGACAGTTGATTGGCATAATTTCTTTGGAATGCTGCCTTTATTGTATAGGTCCTTCCAGAATTCAAACACTGTATGAAATGTAGGAATATAGTCTTCTTTTCCTTTTGTTTTCATAATAAAAACAGTAAGTCAGCATAAAGCCTGGTAGTACTTGACTATGATAATGGCATTCTTTGGATTCTCTCATCCTTCAATTCAAGTTATTACAGGTTCATTTTGTTGAGTCTTTATGAGAAGTAACAGGATGAATCTTGCATTTTCTGCCCATCCTAATGGCAGAGTTCTGACTTTGGTGTATGCTACCAGGCTGGTACTTTTATACTTTGTCATTTTGCTTTTGCTTTAAAGAGAAGACTTGCCCCAACACACATTTTCCCCCATACATTTTTACATTGAACTTTAGGACTCATTCACCTCCACTTAAATTGATGACATAAGCAGCTAATAGCCATTTTTTGGTTTCTGCCTAACCTTGTAAGAAGTGTCTGTTAAAGCCAGTTCTCTGGGTGTCTCAGTGAATGGTAGTTTTTTTTCTTTCCACACTGGCACATCCCGTCTCCCCACTTTTGGCACGTAGGAAGTATGCATTCACAGAATGGGAAAATTCTGGATTTCTGATGCCAAAGGGTTAAAGCCTCTTGGATGTCACTGCAGTGATATACAGCCACTATTTTATTTTTGATCAGTGGCCTTGGGGCCTCTGTTTAAATAGGGCACTGAACATCAGTGTCAGTACTAGGGTTTTTTGTTTTTGTTTGTTTCTCTTGGGTCTTTCTTTTTGGCACATGTGAATTTTGTTTTGTATAAAATGAAATGAGTTTCTCTTGGTCTCTGTTGATGGGTTTAAAATTAAAGAAGCATCTGGTTTTGCTGTGGGGAATGATCCAGGATTATGTTGTGACTGATGTATATTAGTTACTTGTACATTTATTTTAGATCTTTGCAAGGGGAAGACTACAAGTAACGAGTTTTATATAATTAATTTAAATTTGTTGCAGGTTTTCATGTTCAGGATAAACAATTTTTCAGCCTTGGGTGAAAGTACTTGCAACAGTTTATTGATAAGGTGACTGTTACACCTTAGGACAACTGTTGCATGCCATTTTTTTTGTGTGTGTGTAAAAACACTTTAAAATTGAATTAAGATATGTAAATTTAAAATTGGTTGTGTATCCAGTATGCCCCAGGTTCAGTAAATAAACAATTCTTTTTAAAAACAGTCAGTATTCTGTGTTTTATATATTGGTGGTTAATTCACATTTATTAAATACCAGCTTTCTATTCTGATTTGAAATGAGACATGTTCGTGTTTTCTGAGTAATTATGCCTGTTATGCCTATTATTTTTTATTTCTGTAAACTTGAGCATAGTGAACAGGAAACAAATTTTAGCTTCCACACAGGTTTTCCTGTGTGGTTTGTCTGATGAGTTGGTGTTCATATCTTGTATTTTTTTATTTAGGGCAAAAAAAGCTTGAGTTATTTTCACTCAGTCACCTAGTTTATGGATGTGGGAAGTAGTTTTAAGAAAGAGGAAATGGACCGGGCGTGGTGGCTCAAGCCTGTAATCCCAGCACTTTGGGAGGCCGAGGCAAGGGTTCAAGACCAGCCTGGGCAACTTGGCGAGACCCTGTCTCTACAATAAATAAAAAAATTAGCTGGGTGTAGTAGCACGTGCCTGTGGTTCCAGCTACTTGGAAGGCTGAGGCAGAAGGATTGCCTGAAACCAGCAGGTCGAGGCTGCAGTGGCCATGAGCGTGCCACTGCACTCCAGCCTGGGCGACAGAGTGACTCCAATTCAAAAAAAAAGAAGAAGAAAGAAAGATGAAATGGGAGGCTGGGTGCGGTGGCTCAAGCCTATAATCCCAGCACTTTGGGAAGGCTGAGGAGAGAGGATTGCCTGTTGTCTGAGTCCAGGAATTTGAGATCAGTCTGGGCAACTTGGCGAGACCTTTTCTCCACAATAAGTAAAAAAAAAAAAAAAAAAAAAAAAGAGCTGGGCATGGTGGTATTTGCCTGTGGTTCCAGCTACTTGGAAAGCTAAAGCAGGATTGCCTGAGTCCAGCAGGTAGAGACTGCAGGGACCGTGAGCGTGCCACTGCACTCCATTCTGGGGAGACTCCAACTCAAAAAAAAAGAAGGCCGGGCTCAGTGGCTCAGCCATAATCCTGTGCCTTTGGGAGGCTGAGGTGAGTGGATTGCCTGAGCCCATGGGTTCAAGACCTGCCTGGGCAGCGAGACCTCATCTCTACAATATATCAAAAAATTGGCTGGGCGTGGTAGCGCATGCCTGTAATTCCAGCGGAAGGATCGCTGGAGCCCAGCAGGTGAGGCTGGGGTGGCCGGGAGCGGCCACTGCACTCCAGTCTGGGTGACAGAGTGAGACTCCAACTCAAAAAAAAAAAAGAAGATGAAATGCTTTGCCCTAGACTTCCAGACAGTGAAAGGTGGAACCAGAGCCTAGACCCTGTCTGTTGGAACTTTTCCTCTCCCTGGATTACTCAGAGGGCCTGCCTGTAAAACCATCTATTGATCACTGTGTAGTGTCCTGACTTGTGCTAAGTGCTTTACACTCTTATTTATGCCTCAAAACTGCCACTACCCTGAGTAAAATAATTTTGGAAACAGTGCAGGCTTGGTATGGGCCCCAAGATTAGGAAACTGGTAAGTAATAGAGCTGAAGCTTCACTGAGAAAATCAACTGAAAAATTAATAGGAGAAAAGTCATACATATTTGGTCACGGTTTTATGTGACACAGGAACCTTCAGAATGACGACCCAAAGATACAGGGAAAATAATTCATTTTTATGCTTAGGATCAACAAAGTATGGACAACCTTGTAGAAATATGATTGCACAAAAAAGGCTTATGATCTAATGCTAAGACTGAGATGGAAAACCCAGCAAGGCCTGTCCAGATTCTCATAGGCCTCTCTGGGCAGCAGTCCTGGAAAGGGGGGCTCTTATAATCTACAATCAAAACAAGATAGATCAGATAAGTTGGGTTTTTTTTGAGTTGGAGTCTCTCTCTTGTCACCCAAACTGGAGACAGTGGCATGCTCAAGTCCACCTGAGCCTCGATCTGCTGGGCTCAGGTTCTGCCTCAGCCTTCCAAGTAGCTGGAACTATAGGCATGCACCATCACACCCAGCTAATATTTTGATTTATTATAAAGATAGGGTTTTGCCAAGTTGCTCAGGCTGGTCTGAAACCCATGGGCTCTGACAATCCTCTCACCTTGCCCTCCCAAAGTGCTGGAATTATAGGCATGAGCCACGGTGTCTGGCCCATCCGATGTTTTCTTTGTTTTTTTTTTGAGTTGGAGTCTCACTCTGTTACCCAGACTGGAGTGCAGTGGCTGCTCCCGGTCACCGCAGCCTCGACCTGCTGGGTTCTGGCGGTCCTTCAGCCTCAGCCTTCCAGGTAGCTGGAACTACAGGCATGTGCTATCATGCCCGGCTAATTTTTTGATTTATTGTAGAGATGGGGTCTCGCCGTGTTGCCCAGGCTAGTCTTAGACTTGTGGCCTCAAGCAGTCTTCCAGCCTCAGCCTCCCAAAATGCTGGGCTTTCAGGTGTGAGCCACCATGCCTGGCCTTTATGGCCAGTTTTTACACAGAAAAGCGAGGGGGGGGGGATGAGAGTCATACTTTTAGGTTTTATGGCTGGCTTTAACAAAAAGGGGTTCTGCTTTCTATACCCTCTTTGGGAAAGAGGAGGTCTAGTTTCTTTGGCTAGCCTCAGAGGGAGAGACAGGGTAGGAGGTCAGAGAGACTGAGGCTGCTTCATTTTGGGGTATCGTTTTCTGAACCCCAACAGGAGCAAGACAGGTATGGAGGAGGTATGTGCTCATAGAGCCCAACACATTATGCCCGTTAATAAGAGCTTGCTGAATGTGTGCGTGGACAAACGAGTGGCCCAAGTCGGTAATAATGAACACAGGAATGGGAAGGGCGTGTTTAAGACTGACCGTAACTTCCTCGAAAGTAAACCACCGTTTACATGTACCAGCCATCGGGTACCCCCCGCCCCCCACTTCAGCCCTATTTGTGAGACTGGGGCCGGGGTACATTGCTCTGCCCACTCCAGCCGGCGTCCCGGTCCTGCGGCCTGGACCGTAGACGCGTGCTGCCACCTGCCTCCGACTGGTGGGAAAGTGGGAGAGCTGGGCCAGAGTTCCTCCCGCCGAGACTCCTGTTTGGTGTGGAAGGTGCTCCCGGAGCCAAGAGGGCTGCGCAGGGCAGGTGGAGCTTCTCGGCCCCGGCCCCGTCGCCGGCTATTTATCCTCCAGCTGTCGGCTCCGCTCCGCGCCTTCGCTTCCCGTCGGAACTCAGCTCCCGGAGCGCAGTTCCCGGCCGGCGGCCGGAACTGCCGGAAGCGGAAGTGCTTGCTAGCGGCGCCTAGCTCGCTTTCAGGTGGCCATGCAGGCGGGGGAGCGCGCCATGGAGCACGTGACGGAGGGTTCCTGGGAGTCGCTGCCAGTGCCCCTGCACCCACGGGTGCTGGGGGCGCTGCGGGAGCTGGGCTTCCCGTACATGACGCCGGTGCAGGTACCCGTCCGCGGGGGCCAGATGGGGAAAATGAGGCAGGCACCTGCTTGATCGGACTCGCCGGTGGGTGCTCGGGTGGGACTCAAGCCCTGGGGGTCTCATCTCTGCAGCTGGGACTTTTGCCACGTGTCCTGGCTGTCCTGACTCGCGTGATGCGCAATTGGTGGGCGAACGGGGAGGCAGGAGCTGCCGGCGGCACCTGCGCCAGGGCCCCACCCGCCGCCCCACCCTTGGGTGCTTTGGAGCCTGATGCACACCCTGGCCCTGCCCGCTCTAGCTGTGAGACGTCGGACAAACGACTTCACATCTCTGTGCTTCGTTTTCCTATTCCGAAATGACGAAAATAACACCTGCCTCATAGGGGTTATTGTTGAGATTAAATAAAACTGTCAGCTCGTCATAGGATTTTAATAAATTTTACCTGTTTTATTGTGTGGCCGAGTGAAATGACCCAACCAATTTATTCATTTATTCAAGAAATATCTCTTGAGGACCTGCCGTGCATCAGGCATTTTAGTCTCTGGGGATTTTGCCTTGCTGTCACCCAGTCATGAACTTATTTTCTAGTGCAGGAGCTATAGAAAGAAGTAAAGGAGTAAAATAATTTCAGCTGGTGATGTTAGGCGGGAACTAAGGCTGATGCGATAGAGTGGCAGGGTCAGGAGAGGAGGTGTGATCGGGTGCTAAGCAAGGCTCCTTTGAGGAGGTGGCATTGAGACCAGAATGAGCAGAAGCTGCGGGCTGAATGGGGCAGATTATTCCAGCTGAGAGACATGCCAGTGCAAATGCCCTGCGGCTAGCTTTGAGTGACCGAAGGAAGGTCTTTGTGGCGAGTGTCTTGAGTAGTGGTGTCAGGGATGAGCAGGGGCTGGGTTGTGAAGGGACTTGCAGTAGCTTGGAGTTTATTCTGAATGTAGTGGGAAGCCATCTTGTATGGGAAGCTGTTTAAGAAGGGAAGGGCTGTGGTCTCTGGGTAGAGAGGCTACCAGAGGGGTTGAGAAGAAACTGGCAGGTCCGTGAGGAGGCCACTGTTCAGTGAGAGATGATGGTGACTGGGAGTAGGGTGGAAACTGTCAATATTGAGAAGTCACATTTGGGATAGCTTTAGGGAGGTGGGGGGGGGTTAACAGGTTTTGGAGGGAAAAGCAAGAACTGTTTTATTTTTTAAATTTATTTATTTTTGAGTAAGAGTCTCACTGTTGCCCAGGATGGAGTGTAGTGGCATGCTCATGGCCACTGCAGCCTGTACCTGCTGGGCTCAGGTGATCCTTACACCTCAGCCTTCCAAGTAGCTGGAATTGCAGGCATGCGCCACCACACCTAGCTAATTTTTTGATTTATTGTAGAGATGAGGTCTTGCCAAGTTGCCCAGGCAGGTCTTTAACCTCTGGGCTCAGGCAGTCCTCTCACCTTGGCCTCCCAAAGTGCTGGGATTATAGGCGTGAGCTCCCTCGCCTGGCCTAAGAGCTCTTTTAAACTGTTGAATCTGGCCGGGCGGGGTGGCGTATGCCTGTAATCCCAGCACTTTGGGAGGTGGAGGCAAGAGGATTGCCTGAGTATAGGGGTTTGAGACCAGCCTGGGCAACTTGGGGAGACCTCATTTCTACAATAAATCAAAAAAATTAGCCAGGTGTGGTGGTGTGTTCCTATGGTTTCAGCTACATAGAAGGCTGAGGCCCTAGGATCGCCTGAGCCGGGCAGGCTTGCACTGCAGCCTGGGTGACAGAGTGAGACTCCAACTCAAAAAACAAAGAAAACAAAACAAAAATAAACTGTTGCTTCTGAGATATCCTTAGGGTTCCCAGGAAAGATGTGGAGGAAGCAGGCAGGGCTGGAGAAAAAGTCTGGGAGTGCTAAGTGCCATGCCTTGGGGAGGTGGTGCAAGCAAGACCCAGTCTCTGCCCTCAGAGTTCAATGTCTTGAGCTATGTGTTCACTGCTGTCCTCACTAGACGTGTGGCTGCTGAGCATCCGAAATACAGTTAGTTCAAATTGAAGTGTACTCTAAATATAAAATAACATATTGAATTTGGAGACCTAGTATGAAAAAAGAAAGGGCAGGGCAACCCCTTTAGGTCCCCTCCCACTGTGGGAGCTTTTCTGTCCTCTCAATAAGTACTGCTTTCTCAAAAAAAAAGCGGGGGGGGAGCAATATCTTATTAATTTTTCAATACTGACTAAATGTTGAAGGGACAGTATTTTGGATATATTGGATTAAATAAAATATGTATTAGGCCAGGCCTGGTGGCTCATGCCTATAATCCCAGCTAGTTGGGAGGCCATGGTGGGAGGATCACTTGAACCCAGAAGTTTGAGGCTGCAGTGAGCCATAATTACTACACTGCAGCCTGGGCAACAGAGTAAAACCTGTCTTTTAAAAAAAAAATATACACACACACATAATTTAAAAAACTTAAATGTGCTGGGCACGGTGGCTCATGTCTTTAATCCCAGCACTTTGGGAGACTGAGGCGAGAGGATTGCCTAAGCCCACAGGTTCGAGACCAGCCTGGACAACTTGGTGAGACCTCGTCTCTACATAAAATAAAAAAAATTGCCGGTTGTGGTGACACATGCCTGTGGTTCCAGCTACATGGAAGGCTGAGGTGGAAGGATCGCCTGAGCCCAGCAGGTCCAGGCTGGTACCACTGCACTCCAGCCTGGGCTACAGAGTGAGACTCTGACTCAAAAAAAAAAAAGCCAGGCTCGGTGGTTCAGCCTGTAATCCTGCGCCTTTGGGAGGCTGAGGTGAGTGAATTGCCTGAGCCCACGGATTCGAGACCCGCCTG